CGTTTCACCTACCGGTTGTTGTACTTCAACGGCAACAAAGCAAATGGCTTACTAAACGTAATAAATTATTTCTGTCATAAATCTTACATGTAAAGAACATGTTTGAAATATAATTTAATCAAGAGTAATAATAATGTTATGCATTTCTAGTAGGAGAAAATAGAAATTGTATAATGTCATGGCGCTTTAAGAGGTATTTGATTTTTGCTTACAAGTTAAACGGACTACAGGCATTGCTACGGTACATTTGGAACTGACCAGAGACAACCTCAACATTCTGTAGCATGCCGTGCAGGCCTTTCCTAAAGTTATTTCCATGGATCGGCGATGACAGCGCCAGGTAGGGGACGTACTCATGGGAGACGCACTTGTGGCGCACCCGGATTGCCTCTGGCGCACTAAGAACATGTATAAAAGAGCGTCTTCATTGAAGAAGGTAGTTCACTTTGACTTTTGGGATGACTTGCGTCATATCACTTGTTTGTTTTCATAATGAAAAGTATAGTACAAGTAAGTATGATCAGGCAGCGTTGCGTCTCAGCTCCAAATGCAGATCAGACTTCAAACGGCTGACCGGATGAACTCTCACCGCAGCAGATGGGATCAGCGCGCTTCAAAACACCACTTCCAAAGATCCTTAGCTTATCTCGGCAACTTCGGAAGAAGCGAGTCCGAACCAGGTCGGCCCAATTCTGCGTTAGGCAAGAACAGTAAGAACTGCTAGCAAGAGGGGGTAAATGTGGAAAGATCAGCCTGATCATGCCGCACCTGTTTTCACAAACAAGCTGCAGGCGTTCTTTGACGACGAGCGAGGTGCCTCGTTGATGGAATAGATGGCCACGTTTGAAGTCAGTACGGATGTCGGTCACCAGCGCGTTAGGCGCAGTTGGTACTGAGACACAAAGATGACACTTAGTGTGGTTTGTTCAAACGATCGAAACGATCTTGCGTTCGTTTAGGAAGGCACGAGGATACACGAAATCATTCTGCCAAATGAGAAGCGAGTTGGTAAGCCTGACCTGACCCAGAAACAGTTAAGGCTTAAGACCGAAAGGAAGAATTGCTCAGGACTTATACAGGAAGAATTCGACAGGTATCAGCGAAGCTCTGTCGAATAGCTATGTAGCGCTTCGAGTCCGAGAAGTGCCAGGCGTTGGCAAATGGCGTGGGTGATCGAGAAGTTACATGGTCACCTCTTAGGCTGCATTTGTGCCACCATAGTGACTAGGATTTTGGCGGTGCTGTGCTTTAGATCAGTCACATTTTGGAGGGAAATGTTACCCATCTTGATGGCAAGCGACCAACGGTTCATTGCTTTGAAGATTTTGCACAGCAGCGGGAGGCAAAGTCTGTGGAAATATATTTCCTATACGCTGAGTTGCAGAGATTAATGCTGGAAATGGAGCAGATAAAGTTGGTCCAAGGTCAGTAGAGAAGATGGTTGAGAAACAATTGAGCAGCGAAAAGCGACATTTTCTGCGATCGCGACTGACTGTCATTTTCGATCGATCAAGGTGTGCCTGTTTTAATTGTGCGAGAAAATGTCATTTGTTTACATAATGTCCTCAGAGTCTGGGGATTGTCATGAGGGGAACGAATGCTAGTAGAAAACGGATCTTGTCAGATGGCTGATCTGGGCAGTGCAAAGAAAAGGAATGCCGAGTTTAAAGCCTAAGGAAGGCCGGGTTGAAGTGGTTTCCTTGCTAGAAGCAGTTGAAAAGGATGTCTTGTAAACAGTTGTCTTCTGATCTGGGATGACAGAAGATGTTATTGATTGGTTAATCAGTTACGTACCAGAGGTGTTATCGAGCCCAATAAACGAAATTATTGTTCTAGTGAAACTGGATGCCACTGAGGCCAAACATGTTTTCCCTCTCAAGGGATTCATGTGGATAGAAAAGGAAGCACAACATGTTCCTGAGACACCCTTCTCATCAGCAGGATTCAGTGGCTACGAGTCACATTAGCCGAAGCCCGGAGTCCCTTTACCTAAGGACGTAGGCAATCTAAGTGGTCAGCACGCAGACTCCGTCGAACCTCTCGCCGCTGCAGCAAGGTGATGGATTAGACTGAACAGAGCTCCCTCAGAGTTTCACGTCTATCAAGAGACATTTTCAGCATCGCTGGATACTATATCGTGACAGCGCTTGAGTCGAAATCAGCAGGGGATACGTGGCTAAGTGGCATTGCCGTATATCAAGTTCGTGATGGACAGTGGTGACGGTAACTTCACGACTTCGCCTTGCGGGATCAAGGAAGCGCAGTTTTGTCAGAAAGAGCCGGCACCAAGTCATACGGTTTATTTCGACACAACTCAAAAAACTACATGTAATAAAGTCATGGGAAACCATGTTCTATAGGCGAGATTTTTTTACGGGAGAATAATATCAAAACAGAAGTTGCATAACTTGCGTATGATTTTGTGTTTCGATGGAATGACCGGTTTTCGACTAATCTGTGGAAATAGATAGCAGGCTAGCAAGCAGTACGGCGACGATTTTTGGACCGTGGAAGAAATGGCCATCGAGCACCTGCCTTACGAGCGAAAGCGCCATCACGAGGACGTGATGACAGAAATACAGCAGCAGTTATGGATATCGCATGCC